AAGAGGACCTGCGTGAATGGCTACATGAACCAACGGTTGTGGCTGCGCAGCCTTGCTTGTTGTGTCAGGAAGGCTTCGAATATCGTGATGCTTTTATTGCTCACGTTGATGCCGTGCATGGTGGTTTCCAACGCTATCGAAATGCTTGTTGGTTCCTGGAATCTCTATGCCCTCATGTGGTTACTGCTCAGGAGGTGAGAGTTGTGTGTTTTACTGTGCTTGAAATTGTTTGATGTTCCTGTGTAAAGCACATGGTTTCCGATGCTGGGACATGTTCTTATGTACTCATGTTGATGACAGGTGAGGCACTATGTGAGCAACTATGCCACCTTTTTGCGACTGGGAGCCATGGATTGGGAAAGGTCTCTGGTTGAAGCTGTGTCGCAACCAGAAGCTTGTTTGGAACATGTTCTTCGACGTCGATGTGCCTGTGTTTTCTGTGCTCGATCATTTTGGATGGAAGATTTGAAAGATGTATTTTTGCAAGGGGATCAATGTTTCATGCAGAATCCGGATGCAGTTTGGGAACTCATTGGCGTTGCTCGATATCATGGGAGATGGCCTTTGATCCCTTTGGAGGCGCGATCAGATGCAAGATGTATGTGGTGTTCATGATGGAAACCGGAATTGCAAAACGATCATTTGAATACCGTGCTCTGTACCTTTTGCTGTCATAGTGTTTGAGATTGTTTGCGGTCATATCGTTTGTTGTGCTTTTGCTTTGGATATGCTTTGGATATTTTTTTGAGAAAAATATAGCAGTTAACGTTCATTATGTACTATGACAGGTACTGGCGAGTCGACGTGACGAGCCATTTGTAATACTAGCATCTATTGTGACCTGCAAGGGAGAGTCGACGTGACGATCCATCTGTGATACGAATAATGGATGGCTTTCGTGGTGATAGGTTATTATAATTGTGATTACTCCTCAGAGCTGTGATAGCGACTGTGCGTTGGACAGGAATTGAAAGCGCCTGCAGTGAATATGGGCACCAAGAATAAACCAAAGTTGGTGCTGTTGCACAAACGCCGTGTTTCGGAGGCAGCTGTTTGTGGTGAGGCTTTAGTCGGCATTTGTTCCGACTGTGACGCTGCATTCAGCGGAAAGAAGCCAAGTTTGTGCAGATTCGCTTTGGCCAACGATATGTGGTTGGGCCGCATTGATCCATTGCTGTTTGGCTTTGGCGCGAACTGTGGCCACCAAAGTGGTCTTGCGGTCTGGCCAACAGCAGACCCAAGGATCCCAGAACGATCACCAATGGGATCATGTGTTTCGCCAGACGGGTTTGGTTGGTTCAGCAATTGTTTTTCACAATGGCGATGCAACCAACGCCATCCAAAGCCTGCCGCCCAAACAATTCAATGATGCTTTGGCTGTGACGTTTTGTACTCAGTTGCAAGAAGCACAAGACCAGCAAGAGGGGCAAGTTGCAGTTCGTAGGATTGCTCAGTTTCAGCTTGACAAAGCATTGTTTGTGGATCAAGCCAACTGTTTGCGAGACACGAACCCAGTGTATGCTGAGGGCGTGACTGAGATCAACCGAGACCTGTTGACTGAGTGGGTGGATCAACAAGTCCCGCAGCCCATTTTGGATTGTGTGTTGACAGTTCCAGTCGGAGAAGGAGGTCCTGGAGTGATGCGTCAAGAAGGTCCGGCGAATGCCACAAAACAACGCACGACACCGGATGAAGATCCCGTGCTTTTTGCGATGGAGTCTGAAGTCTCTGATTTCAATAGCAAACGATTGGACCTGTCCAATCGCATTGTGGTGCTTTTACAAAAACTGGAAGAGCTAGAAGCAGCGGGCGCACGATCTGTCGCTCTTGAAATGGAAGCCTTGGTTGAGGATGAAGGATCGCAGTGGGTGGATCAGGCTGGTCGAAAGCGCATTTTAGAACTTTGCAATGAAATTCATGAGTCGTGTGAAAAGGTGTCCCACGCAGGCATGAGGACCAAATTGGAAGAAGAACTTCGTGATATTGTGGAGGGCCGGTCCAGGTGGCTTCTAAAAAGTGAGACCAACAGTAATGGAGAGCCCAGCTTGGCTGAAGTCGACGTGACGACGGCAAGCGGTGTGGGAGCCGAAGTCGACGTGACGATGGCGAGCAGGGAGCGATCCGGCCAGGTAGATCGCAGTGGACCTGGACATTTGGTGGTGGCTCGAGGCAAGAAACCACTCAGTCTTTTGGATTGGAAAATTTGGACCATGTCCCGGCCACGCTTGTGGCGATATGGTGATGCTGCGAACTTGTATCCTGATCGAGAGGTACCTTTGGCCACCCGGGAGTGGGCTGCATGTTTGCTTTTGCGGGAGGAATTGGAATACAGTTTGAGTGATGATGTTCACGAGAGTCCTGTGCAAAATCGTTTTAGTGGCGATTGGATGGCCTTGCACATGATAGCCACAGTGTCCCGCTTGACGGACCAACATGCGGCAACCTACAATTTCTTGAAGAATGGTGGCATGGTGTTTGCTAAGACTCTACGAGGATTGTCTGCTGAAAAGTTGGCGCAGGCAGCGAGAGTGAGCAAAGATGCGGGTGCGTCGTTGCAGCAGTTGCACACCACCCCGGGCATACCTCGAGAGGTCAAGGATGCCCTGCATGCCATGAACGAACGGCGCATCCAGCGCCGTTTTAGGCACAGACGGCCATCGTCAGTTCTGCCGTCATGAAGGATGTGCCTACATGGAAACCTTCGGTCCGCCGATGATTTTCGTCACTCCAAACGTTGCCGACATTCAGCACCCCTTGCTTTTGATCGTGCAAGGAGAACAGATTGACCTTGGAGCGGTCAGTGCTGACATGGCATCGACTTTGCCAAAATACCAAGATATGCTTCGGCGTGTGGCCCAGGATCCAGTCGGGCAAGTCGTGCAATTTGAAATGTTGATGAGGTTATTTTTACAGCACGTCTTGAATGTGCGGCCAGAGACCCTGGATTGCCGCCGCAACTCTGTCAGGGCTGCGTGCCGGGAGTGGTGCAGCGACGGTGTCGCTGCGGCATGGCATGGTTGGGCCGGTTCTTGCATTTCGTGGCGAAATCGAAGCTCAGGGTCGTGGGTCTTTGCATCCCCACATCTTGGTGTGGTTGGTTTGTGGTCACCTGGAGGTCTTGAGTCAACTGACGGAAATCTTGCGCACCAAGCAGCACGAACTGCGACAACGCTTGAAAGAATTCATGCAATTGGCGGTGACAAGTTTTGAATCCATTTCGCATGCTTCTGTGCAAGCGGCTCCACGTTGTGTTGGAAGTGATATTTTGGATGCACCTGTCAAGATCACGGAGGTGGCGCGTGATCTCTTCAGGGGTGATGGTGGCTCGGATAAGGAACTGCTGGAACAATTCAAAGAGAAAACACCTGAACAAGAAGAGTATCTGCTGTGAATTTCTGAGGAAGACTGGCGGCGACCCAAGTTCCAAGTGGAAGCAACAACAACAGGTAAGCAGAGCATATTTGCAACACCCATCAACCAGCTGTCGGTGGCGTCCACTCCAAAGTATCGTTTGCGGTCATTGCTGTGTGATCCGCATGTGCCGGAATTGGATGCGGATGCTTGGCGGACTGCATTTTAGCAAGACTTACATTCGTTGATGCCTTCGCTGCTTCGACATGTCTGTACAGAATCGTGTTACAAATATTCTGATTCGACTTCCAAGACCTTCAGAATTTGTCGACATGGCTTCTATCATGTGATTCACATATGCGACGGTTGTCGTGTGCGTCGCAAAGGGAAGTATCTGCGACCCGATTTTGTACATTGCTGGTGAGATGACTTTGGCTCCGTGCGAGGGCGCTTGAGATGGGCTTGATATGTGTATAGGAGGTCTACAAATGACATGTCGTCCATTAATATATTGTCGTCTATGCTCCGAAGTGGCAGGTGATAGCACAAAGTCTCTAGCCAAGGCGTACTCGAGTTATCAACTTGGTTGTCCACAAGCCCACGAAGTCTCGTCTAAGTTCACACGAAATCGAATCACCTGTTTTCCATATGTCGTAGCACGGGGTGGCGTCAAGGGCCCTGTATTGATCCGAGATATATCGGTCGGACGAAAATCACTTAAACACATGTATGCGATATGCAGGAATTGATACAGGAGGAAAGCTTTTTCGTTCGAGCCCATCTCGACCATGTAAAATTCCTTTTGGAAAAAATACAAAATTTGGCCTTGACGCCATTGCTCTTTTCACCTGTTGTAAAAATCGCTTTGAAACTCGTATGAGCCATGAGCATGGTTAGGTAGAGTAACCAACTTATTGCGCGCCGAACTGAAAGTGAACGGTGTCTGGCACACCTTATCTTTGACTTCCCAATCACTCACTCTTTGTCGAAAGCGCTCCATGCCTTCCAACTGCTCAAGCCTTTCTTTTCTGGCCAGGGTGCGTTCCAACAACTCAATTTGTTCTTTCTGTTTCTTCACCTTTGCACTCACCTCAATTATGAAGAGCATCCTTTCATTGCAATGACGATTCCAGAGGCGAATCTGGTCCGAAGTGCAACCGGAGGTGTCCTCAATGTCCAACAATTTCTTGTAAGACTTGTAGCGTGTATTTGTCCAGTTCTCCTCAATTATTACTCCTCTCATCGCACTGTCGATCATGGGGTGCTGGTAGTTGAGGACCACTTTATTCAGAATTTTCTTCCATTTCCTTTGTCCTCTTTCGTTCTCAACACTTTCTTTGATTTGATACCAGCGATCCCACTCTTCTGGTGACACTTCTGGATCATCGTTCACGGAAGAGCTTCCGGCATCATCATCATTCACCTGGTTGTTCTGTGCAGTTTCCATCTCTGCAATGGTGCCATGGCTAGGATCCGAGTCAATCTCTGGAACTTCATCGTTGTTATTCACCTCATTTTCTTCCATCGTGTTCTCATTCTCCATCACTGGCTGGGGGAAAAGAATTTGCACAATGCTCAAAAACCACCTGTATGCTTTGTAGGCAACGTTCTGCATGCCAATGAATGAAAACAAGAAAATCACCAACACTGTCAACACAACTCTGAAGTCATCAGTTGCAGTGTTTCCCGATGCTGTCTGATTTGTATCAGCTGCTTCAACACCTGCTTCCTCTGCACCTTGTGTTGCCAATGTAAGGATTGCCATCTGTGCTGCTTTCTTTCACATGTCTTTACCAAGTTTGCGCTGGTTGAAGTGCTTGTAAAAATGCCTTCGATTGCAATACCGGTGGTGCTGCTGTGAAGCATCAAGCGACTTCCCACAACCTGGTTTCTGGCATACTCCAGCCGCAATCTCCTCGGTCATCAACAGCTCACCATGGAAAAGCATCTTGGCGGCTTCATCGTGCTCTTTCTCTTCACTTTCTTTCTCTTCTCTTGTGACCTTCTTGGCTGCAATGAAGTTTGGATCAAACCTCAATGAGTGAACTCCTCGCCTGAGAACATGCGAGAAACTGTCTTTGGCTCCTGGTTTCGTGAGCCCATCTGCAACTTGTTGTGCCGAGTTCACCCACTTCATTTCTCCAAGCATTGCAGCCAACCTTTCCTTCACAATTGCGACTTCTATTTCTGTTCTCTTCTCTGTAAGCCTCAGACCTGCAGACACTGACCTTGCAGAATCGAAAAGAGACTTTGCATCTGTCAAAGCAGGAGTTGGGCCGAACATCTGGAGCACGCTCTCATCGGCAATGGAGATGTAGGGACAGACCATCCCAGCAGCGAAAATCTTGGTCCATTCAACTTCATCAATTGCACTTGCTGCTGACTGTGCTTCCGCCGACAATGAAGACCTGCACATGCGGTTGATGATGGTCAAAGGAAAAGGCTTCCCTGCATTCATCTCATCCTCTGTGCGAAGATGGTGTTGTAGCCTTGAACAACGTCTTTTGCAAATCTCAACAACTTGTTTGCTTGCACAATATCACCAACTGTTGGATTGCTCGACGATACTTGCAACAATGAAATTGAAGCGGACAACTGAGGTAGGCATTGTCCTGCCGGCCAAGCCAACGCGCCAATGAGTGCTCTCAGCATCTTCGTTTCTTTGGGTTCCAATGGTGCGTCGCTCATGGTCTTCCTCTCCTTGTCCAAGGTAATTGGCTTGATCTTCTGCACATATTCTTTCAGGCTCAATGTCAAGCTGTCATACCCAATGCTTTGCTCCAATGATGTTCCACAAAACAGGATCTTGGAATTGCGACCAAAGTCCCAACTGCCGAACCTGAACTTTTGTGCCAAGCTCTGCAACCTGCTCTTGAAACAATGTGTTGTCCTCTGCGCTTCTGTCTCCTTACGGATTCCGGTTACATCCTCCATTGCATGCACTCCGTCACCACAACCAAGGAAATCATCAACATGCAAACCAAGAATCCCATCAACAATGTATTGCTTGCCTTGGTATTCGAACACTTAGAAATCATGATTTCCTCGGCATGCAATCCTCACGCTCAGGAAAACACAGTTGTCCAATGGATGCTGAAGGAACTGGGCCTCATTGATCAGGAAATCTTTTGCTGACTCATACCACTGCCTTGGTGCCCTCACGTCACCGAAGGCCGGTTTGGTGCCCTTGAGAAGCTCCCATGGTTTGAGATCCATGAGTCTCAATCGTTTCCTCATCTCAGCAGTGGGTCTGATATAGATGCGGGTCTCCTCATCGATGGACTTGGACTGCATGAACGCATTTTTCACATCTGCTGCAAAGACTTTCCATCCCAATTGACAAGCCCACTGCAGGATCAACATGCGACCTGTTCTACTCAAAGTCGGCGACTCACGATCCAGCTCTTCATTGAGAACATCTTTGTGACGGAATCTTTGGATGATGACTCTGGCATTCGCCACTTTTCCTTCTTTCGTAGGTTTCCATCTCTGCAGAAATCTTGCTGGAATGACCTCGCCGTCCTTGGCCTCCGTCTCAGGAACAGCCTTCCAAGCCTTGTTCTCCAGCCAAACACGGAGTGCCTTGTCCTTCGCCTCGCTGAACTCTTGTCGCTCTTTGTCCGTCAGCTTGGATTCATGGAATGACTGGCTTTCTCATCTCTGGCGGGTGAATTTCTTTCTCTCTGTGGTCTGGCATCTTCTCCTTTTTCTTCTTTTGGAATTTCTGGCTCTTGCATCTCGGCATCAACTCGGGTTTCACCTGCACTCTTCTCAGCAACACTTGCCAATTTAGCTGGTGCATCTTGTCCGGCATCGGTTGCAGTGTTTCCCGATGCCGGGGCATCGGTTGCAGTGTTATCCGAGGCCGAAACGATGGATGCACCCTGACTCGCTGCATTCGCAAAAGAGGTATCCCCAAGGGAAGGAGATTGCTGAGAAGACAAATCCAAAAACCTAACGGGACCGCGAACAGGACGTAAGGTTTCAAGAATTTGGGTTTGAACCGGTGTGGATTGAGCTGTCTCTGGCATGTTCTCTAACCGTGCCAACCGTTCTCTGCACGAATGTGTTTAGGAGCGACACGAACGAGAGAGGCACCATGAGCTAACCAGCAAACATGAGGTCGCAACTTCTCGGATTCGTTCATAGGTTTTGGCTCAACCATACAAACCAAAGAAGGTCCCCGCCATCGAGAGCTTTCGAGCTTTGAATCTTCCTTTCGAGAGCTTCCCAAGGTGGAGTGGGCCAGGCGTATTTGCCAGCCATTGGACTCCTGTCCCTAAACATGGCTATGGAGGTGTTGTCCTCGAAGCCAACCCAAAAATTCTGCTGCATCCTGCTGGTTAGCTCAGGATCAAAGCCCTCATAGGCCAAAGTGGCCCAAAACTGCCCCAACAATGCTGCATTGATGTAGCAGGCATTGGATGAATTGTAAAGCTTGGTGCGAAGCAGTTGGCGTATCAGCGTCTCACACGGTGGGCGATTGCGATAGCAAGCGAGGACTTTTGCAGGCCTGTTGGTCTTAAGCGCAGCAGAATCAACTGGCAGATCCCGTTTCCGCTCACGGTGTTGAAAAGCTCGAACAAATGGGTCGACGCTTATCGAGGCGCCGTGGTATCGTCACCTGGGAGTCGTCCGGGATCTGATTTCGATTCATGGGCTTGAGAGCGGAGAAACGTTTGATGAGATCTCCCTGATTGGCTAGCTGTGAGAGCTGGATGGTGAGTTCCTGAACCTTTTCCTGCGGTAGTAGTTGTAGGTCGAAGGCATTTGGCCGCACTGTTCCAGGCATTCTCGGCTGTCCGGGCTGTCGTACTTCAACTTCATCAATCTCTGAATCAGAATCTCAACTACTTTGAGGAAATTGATCTGTGATGATGCCATTCCTTTCGGTGCCAAAAAATCATTTCCGGCAGGATAGAGTCCCTTCCGGCCTGAAGAAAAAATAGGAAGGTTCTCTCCAAAGACGTCTGATTGATTATATTTTCCTGGCGTAAGTGAAAACAAGAAAATCACCAACAATGTCAACACAACTCTGAA